CTCCTCCATGTAAAATTTCACGATGTTCGCGCCATATTGCGGCCTATGGAGCGACCAGAAAAACCGACAAAAGTTTAGTATTTGGTCCATTTCATACCCTAAATATTAACCGATCTCTCCGAAAAGCAATAGGGGTCTTCATTGACCAGAACCCATCCTACATGCAACATTTCGTGGAGATTGCTCCATAACTGTGACCTGTATCGTGTTTACAAATTATAATGGACAGACGGACGGTACACATGTCTAGATCGACTCAGATAGTCGAAATATGATCGGTATACTTAAAGGTGGGTCTATTACCAATATTTCGCGGCGTTACAAACTCTTGGGGCTGCACAAAGCTATAATACCCTGACAACATAGTTGCCTCTATGTAGACCTTAAAAAATATTTCAAAAGAATCAACGTCTTAGGTAGCTACTTGAAATAATATTTCGAAAGAATCCAAGTCTTAGGTAGCTACTTAAAAAAATATTTCCAAAGAATCCAAGTCTTAGGTAGCTACTTAAAAAAATATTTCCAAAGAATCCACGTCTTAAGTAGCCACTTAAAAAAATATTTTCAAAAAATACACGCCTTAGTGGCTACTTCAAAAATATTTTCAAAAAATACACCCCTTGGTGGCTATTAAAAAAAATATTTTTAGGAAATCCACGCCTTGGTGGCTACTTAAAAAAATATTTTCAAAAAAATAATGTCTTATGTATTAAGAATTATTTGCAGATACGACGAACATGATCCGTTAACGTCATTCAGACAAAAAATTAATAATCCAAGTCAAACGAATACCGGTTAAAAAATAAAATACAAATTTTTTATTAAAATGAACAGTTATAAACGAAAACATGATTTGATCAAAATATTTACGTTCAATTTCTGGAAATTGCATCTGGTTTCAAAACAAATTTCCATAAAAATTTGTTATTAAATACCAAATCACGTTTTGTTTGATTCTTTGGTTCAGTAGCTTCGATTAAGATGAATTCAATTAGATCATACCTTGTGGATATGATTTTATTCAGTTTGATTCTAGAATGGAATATATAGTGCAATGAAACATAAAATATTTTTTTCAAATTGGAATTCATGTTTTTCTATGCATAATTTGTGAATGGAAATCAGGTTTAGAAACTGGGTCAAGTTTAATAGTTTTTTTTCAGTAGCCGAAAATAAAAATGAAACTCAGCTTTGAGGGAATCCGTATGAATGATTCACTTCGAAACATTTTTTAAAGAATTGAGATATAGGAAAACTTTTATGTAGGTTACGAAATGCAGATAAGATTTAGGCTATTGCAGATCAGTCAGATTTTACTCCATGTCCATATTTTTGCTAGAAACGTTGGATATTTAAAAAAAAAAAAAACAATATTTCCTACGATTTCAGTCTCTTTTAAAACACAAGTCTTTCTCTAATGTTCCCAACCAATTAATAAAAATATATGTTCTTCTTTACTAAAAAAAAAATATTTAAACAAAAATAATCAAAACCCGTCTGATAGCTCTTTTGTTTATATCCAAAATTAATATTTATTTTTGAATGTCAAATGGTGTTAAATAGTTATAATTTTATGGTCATTGAGATCAAAACACGATGACATAAAAAAATCGCTATCAACGAAGCGCATGACCGAAAGACATCGCCAACAAAAAGATAGACAAATATGTAAGAATAACTTCGACCGGTTTTGTTTTTTTTTTTTTTTTTTGTTTTTGGTAGCATCTTTGGACCATATTAATAATATTATAGCCAACAAACATTAAACAAAGAAAGTTAAAATACGCCAAAAGCGACTTGCTTTCATGTGATGTGATTTTAAAAATGAATCGGGTTTCAAAATTAATTGCTTATTTGGAACCAACAAATATAAAACGTAATATGTTATCCAGAATTATAGTTGATTAATTTATTAACATGTGTATACAAAATTTCTAAAGACCAAGAATATTTTTCTACGAACAACCATGAGGTACAAAAATGAAATAATTTTTTCAAGGACCTACATAAGGCGTGGATTTATGAAATAATTTTTTTAGGGCACCATATGAGGCGTGGATTTATGAAATAATTTTTTTAGGGCACCATATGAGGCGTGGATTTATGAAATAATTTGTTCGAGGACCTACACAAGGCGTGTACGTGTGGATTTATGAAATAATTTTTTCAAAGACCTACATAAGGCGTGGATTTATGAAATAATTTTTTCAAGGACCTACATAAGGCGTGGATTTATGAAATAATTTGTTCGAGGACCTACACAAGGCGTGTACGTGTGGATTTATGAAATAATTTTTTCAAGGACCTACATAAGGCGTGGGTTTATGAAATAATTTGTTCGAGGACCTACACAAGGCGTGTACGTGTGGATTTATTAAATAATTTTTTCAAGGACCTACATAAGGCGTGGATTTATGAAATAATTTTTTCAAAGACCTACATAAGGCGTGGATTTATGAAATAATTTTTTCAAGGACCTACATAAGGCGTGGATTTATGAAATAATTTGTTCGAGGACCTACACAAGGCGTGTACGTGTGGATTTATGAAATAATATTTTCAAAGATCTACAGGGGAACCTACATAAGGCGCGGATTTGTGAAACACTTTTTTCAAGGACCTACGTAAAGCGCAGATTTGTGGAATATGTTTTCAACGGCCTGTATAGGGCGTGGATTCATAAAATAATTGTTTTTATTTTTAAAATAACTTTTTCGAGGACTTTCATAAGTCTTGGATTTTTTAAATATTTTTTCAAGGACCTTCAAGACGTGGATTTTTTTAAAAATGTTTTTTCAAGGACCTTCAAGACGTGGATTTTTTAAAAGAAAATTTTTTAGGACCTACAAGACGTGGATTCATTAAAGAATATTTTTTAGGACCTACAAGACGTGGATTTTTTTCAAGGACCTTACAAGACGTGTAAGACTATTTCTTCAATGACGCATAAGGCATGGTTTTTTCAAATGGTATTTTTAAAGGACCTACAAAGTGTCTATTATTTGAAAAATATTTTTCAAGGACCTACATAAGGTGTGGGTTATTTAAAGAATATGTTCTGAAGCTACAAGGTTTCGATTATTTAAAGAATATTTTTTAAAGGACCGTAGAGTATTTAAATAATATTTTTTCAAAAACAAATAGATGCTTGGATTTTAAAAGAATATTTTTGAAGAACAAATAGAAGCTTGGATTTTAAAGAATATTTTTTCAAGGACAAACATAAGCTTGGATTTTTAAAGAATATTATTCGTCATTCGCTATTTATTTCCCATACTCATCCTTCAAATCTTCCCATATATTTTTTTAAAGTTTGAACCAAAAACTGAAACTGAACAACTCAATTACACAGCAATATAGAAAATTTCTCAAGCGTAAAATAGCAAAAAATACAGAGAGAAAACTTTTTTATTTTTGCTCCTAGCAAAAGATCACATACATATGCATTGGTAGAGTATGTAAAACTCTTAATATATTGGATAGTATTAAAAAATTGTTTAAGTGCTATTAAAAGTTTTGCAAATTAGATATGTATGTCTGTGGGTGGGTGTGTTTTTGGGTGCTGTGTTAGGAAGCCTAAATCCGATTCGAGAAAACTTCAAGTAGAAAAATTGTTGATTTTTGATGTTATTCAAATAAAATAAAAGAGATGGCAAAAATTATTATTGAAAATGAAAACTTTGTTTAATTTATTTTTATAATCTCTTGATGAAATGCTTAAGGGGGAAAATTTTTCTAATAGATGGAAAATTCTTACGAAAATGTGGAAGAGTTAAGGTGAGGACTAGTGAAGTGATTTCAAAAAGTATATGGAGGTGTATTGTGGAAATTTAAATATATTTTAAATGGATTTTTCTCAGTTATTGGAATCTGTAATTAACCCAATCTGCAACGTCCTTAAATAATTCACAATTTTATACAGATTTTATTTCAATCTTTAAGAGTTTCTTGGCATATTTTATCTGCGCGTTTCTTAATTTATGCGTTGATATTTTAATGGCAAAAATTTTATTGAGAACAAAAATTGATTTGTTTTTTAGTCTGTGAGGCCACATGGCTGCCTGCTGCTGCCATAAAATAAATACCTCGTTGTTGTCCTGCATATAAATTAAATTCCAAAAGATTTTTATTTAATTTTGCAACTTATAATGAAAGTTTTGCTTTTTTGTGTATTTGAATATTCCATAAATTAAGCTGGTATCTCCTCCATATCAGCAAACAGTCGTAGTATTCCGCACCAAGTCATGGCAATCCTTTTAAACTAAAAAAAAAGAGAGAAGAAGAAAAAAGAAAAGAAGAGACACAATATTAGATTTATTTTTTTTCTGTATCATAAAAAAGTAATGATGAAAGTCACCCCATCCCTTTTAGTATAATCGAAAATATTATTAGAATAGAGCTGCTGTTAATATTTTAAGAAAACGAAACGCTGCAGGGCATATGATAACAAATTGTATAAGAATTTATCTAGCTAAAGGTCAAATACCATAATATCTACACACATACATAATCATAAGACACACATATACTTCCATACTAGTATAAGTTTTTGTATTCTCGCCTTAAGTAAATATAAATCCAGTCTTATCCTTAAGGTCACACACAGTGAACAAAGAATGCCAAACAAAATGTCAAAAATTAATAAGACGCATGTAAAAATCTAATATGGGGACAATGCATTTGGACAGAAAATCAAGAAAATAAAATAAACGAAAATGAAACAGAGAGAAAATAGGGATAACATTTCGTCGAGGGCTAATAAAAGCGTGGATTTGTTAAAGAATATGTTTTCTCAGACCTACAAGGCGTGGATTTATTAAAGAATATTTTTTCTCAGACCTACAAGGCGTGGATTTATTAAAGAATATTTTTTCTCAGACCTACAAGGCGTGGATTTATTAAAGAATATTTTTTGTCAGACCTACAAGGCGTGGATTTATTAAAGAATATTTTTTCTAGCATCTACAAGGCGTGGATTTATTAAATAATATTTTTTATAGCATCTACAAGGCGTGGATTTATTAAATAATATTTTTTATAGCATCTACAAGGCGTGGATTTATTAAAGAATATTTTTTTATAGCATCTACAAGGCGTGGATTTATTAAAGAATATTTTTTATAGCATCTACAAAGCGTGGATTTATTAAAGAATATTTTTTCTAGCATCTACAAGCCGTGGATTTATTAAAGAATATTTTTTCTAGCATCTACAAGGGGTGGATTTATTAAAGAATATTTTTTCTACGACCTACAAGGCCTGGCTTTATTAAAGAATATTTTTTCTACGACCTACAAGGCCTGGCTTTATTAAAGAATATTTTTTCTACGACCTACAAGGCCTGGATTTATTAAAAAATATTTTTTCTACGATCTACAAGGCCTGGATTTAATAAAAAGAGTGTTTCAAGGAAATAAAATTCCCCAGCACATTTTCCTCAACTTTTCTCTATCCTGACTATTGTCAATTGAAAATCAATCGCCTCCAAATTACAACCAGATTTTCCGTGAAACTTTCCGACAATAAAAACGAAATCTATTGAAAATTTTCAGCCAAAGAAAACAAATTAAGAGCCAGTTAAAAAAACACGCTTCATTGATGGTAGAAACTTCAAGGATCGCTAACTTAATACCGTTAATATCGATGATGAAAAGGCCATGGGCATCAGAGCAGGAGGACCACAAAAAAACCGTCCACATGCAGATGCAACAGCGGCATCATCATCAAAACTATCAACGACCACCCAGCCACCAATATTCTTGGAACTTTAATGGCCAGCCACAACAACGTGGAACAGCTATTCAAATGGTAGCAAAGACCAGTAACAACTAATGGATATTCATTGCCATCATCATCATGGCATTTGATGGATGCTGAGAACGCTTGAATGATGACTGACTGAAACTGATGCAGCCTCACTGTCAACTGTCAGAAAGTGCTGCAGTCGAAAGTTGAAGTGTTCGAGGAGAGATGTCTGATTGTTGACTTTTGTAGGGTGGCAGATGCTGGAGGTGGTTTACACTCGCTATGCAAACACATTGCACCTTTTTACATTGTAATAACAACACCTTACCCATCCCTCTCTGTTTCTATCCTCACCCACTTCTCGTCCAATTGAATTTACATTTAAGTGAATTTGAAAGTTTGTCCTACAACTTACCCGCAGATCGTGATGGCTTAACTTTGGAACTTTTCTTGCGCGCTGCCTCCTGGCTAGTGGATGAGGTTGTTTCCCGTAAATCGATTTGCATGGCATCATCGTTGTCGTTAATTTGAGTTTTGAAAACTTTCTTCAAATTAATTATCTGAAAAGAAAAAGAAGAAGAAAATGGTGACAGAGACAGAGATATAAAAAAACGAAAGTTGTTAGAATTGAAAGAGCATTACTAATGTTTAGTTTGGCTTGGTGGGATGGCTAACCAACCTCCATATCTAGGCAGGCAATTCTCAGAGACAGCCATTATTCGCATGCCCATAAAAACTTGGAATAATGACAAAGTTTTAATTAAATTAATAAGGTATGACGCTGAATGTTGGTGTCGCACTTAAATCCTGACAAATCAAAGCGGCTGTGATTCCGCCGTTAAGTGCCAACAATGCGGGAAATGAATTTTTAATAAATATATTTTGAACGAAAACATGGTCAGCTTATATGCGAAGACAATCAAAAGTTAAATAATTAAATTAGGAATAAGTGACAGCCTTAATGAGATATGTTTCAATAGAAAAATATCGGAAGGTCTTTCTATCGTATATATATAAAATAGTCAGCCCCAGCTGAGGTATTTTTTCAATAGGAAAAAATTCGACAGCCTTGCTCAGGTATTTTTTCCAAAGGAAAAAAATTCGTCAGCCTTGATGAGATATTTTTTTCCGACTAGAAAAAAATTCGTCAGCCCAAGCTGAGGTATTTTTCCGTTTAGAAAAAAATCGTCAGCCCAAGCTGAGGTATTTTTCCGTCTAGAAAAAATTCGTCAGCCTTGCTGAGGTATTTTTTCCGTCTAGAAAAAATTCGTCAGCCTTCCTGAGGTATTTTTTCCATCTAGAAAAAATTCGTCAGCCTTCCTGAGGTATTTTTTCCGTCTAGAAAAAATTCGTCAGCTCCAGCTGAGGTATTTTTTCCGTCTAGAAAAAATTCGTCAGCTCCAGCTGAGGTATTTTTTCCGTCTAGAAAAAATTCGTCAGCTCCAACTGAGGTATTTTTTCCGTCTAGAAAAAATTCGTCAGCTCCAGCTGAGGTATTTTTTCCGTCTAGAAAAAATTCGTCAGCTCCAGCTGAGGTATTTTTTCCGTCTAGAAAAAATTCGTCAGCTCCAGCTGAGGTATTTTTTCCGTCTAGAAAAAATTCGTCAGCTCCAGCTGAGGTATTTTTTCCGTCTAGAAAAAATTCGTCAGCTCCAGCTGAGGTATTTTTTCCGTCTAGAAAAAATTCGTCAGCTCCAGCTGAGGTATTTTTTCCGTCTAGAAAAAATTCGTCAGCTCCAGCTGAGGTATTTTTTCCGTCTAGAAAAAATTCGTCAGCTCCAGCTGAGGTATTTTTTCCGTCTAGAAAAAATTCGTCAGCTCCAGCTGAGGTATTTTTTCCGTCTAGAAAAAATTCGTCAGCTCCAGCTGAGGTATTTTTTCCGTCTAGAAAAAATTCGTCAGCTCCAGCTGAGGTATTTTTTCCGTCTAGAAAAAATTCGTCAGCTCCAGCTGAGGTATTTTTTCCGTCTAGAAAAAATTCGTCAGCTCCAGCTGAGGTATTTTTTCCGTCTAGAAAAAATTCGTCAGCTCCAGCTGAGGTATTTTTTCCGTCTAGAAAAAATTCGTCAGCTCCAGCTGAGGTATTTTTTCCGTCTAGAAAAAATTCGTCAGCTCCAGCTGAGGTATTTTTTCCGTCTAGAAAAAATTCGTCAGCTCCAGCTGAGGTATTTTTTCCGTCTAGAAAAAATTCGTCAGCTCCAGCTGAGGTATTTTTTCCGTCTAGAAAAAATTCGTCAGCTCCAGCTGAGGTATTTTTTCCGTCTAGAAAAAATTCGTCAGCTCCAGCTGAGGTATTTTTTCCGTCTAGAAAAAATTCGTCAGCTCCAGCTGAGGTATTTTTTCCGTCTAGAAAAAATTCGTCAGCTCCAGCTGAGGTATTTTTTCCGTCTAGAAAAAATTCGTCAGCTCCAGCTGAGGTATTTTTTCCGTCTAGAAAAAATTCGTCAGCTCCAGCTGAGGTATTTTTTCCGTCTAGAAAAAATTCGTCAGCTCCAGCTGAGGTATTTTTTCCGTCTAGAAAAAATTCGTCAGCCCCAGCTGAGGTATTTTTTCCGTCTAGAAAAAATTCGTCAGCCCCAGCTGAGGTATTTTTTCCGTCTAGAAAAAATTCGTCAGCCCCAGCTGAGGTATTTTTTCCGTCTAGAAAAAATTCGTCAGCCCCAGCTGAGGTATTTTTTCCGTCTAGAAAAAATTCGTCAGCCCCAGCTGAGGTATTTTTTCCGTCTAGAAAAAATTCGTCAGCCCCAGCTGAGGTATTTTTTCCGTCTAGAAAAAATTCGTCAGCCTTGCTGAGGTATTTTTTCCGTCTAGAAAAAATTCGTCAGCCTTGCTGAGGTATTTTTTCCGTCTAGAAAAAATTCGTCAGCCTTGCTGAGGTATTTTTTCCCGTCTAGAAAAAATTCGCCAGCCTTGCTGAGGTATTTTTTCCGTCTAGAAAAAATTCGTCAGCCCCAGCTGAGGTATTTTTTCCGTCTAGAAAAAATTCGTCAGCCCCAGCTGAGGTATTTTTTCCGTCTAGAAAAAAATTCGTCAGCCCCAGCTGAGGTATTTTTTCCGTCTAGAAAAAATTCGTCAGCCCCAGCTGAGGTATTTTTTCCGTCTAGAAAAAATTCGTCAGCCCCAGCTGAGGTATTTTTTCCGTCTAGAAAAAATTCGTCAGCCCCAGCTGAGGTATTTTTTCCGTCTAGAAAAAATTCGTCAGCCCCAGCTGAGGTATTTTTTCCGTCTAGAAAAAATTCGTCAGCCCCAGCTGAGGTATTTTTTCCGTCTAGAAAAAATTCGTCAGCCCCAGCTGAGGTATTTTTTCCGTCTAGAAAAAATTCGTCAGCCCCAGCTGAGGTATTTTTTCCGTCTAGAAAAAATTCGTCAGCCCCAGCTGAGGTATTTTTTCCGTCTAGAAAAAATTCGTCAGCCCCAGCTGAGGTATTTTTTCCGTCTAGAAAAAATTCGTCAGCCTTGCTGAGGTATTTTTTCCGTCTAGAAAAAATTCGTCAGCCTTGCTGAGGTATTTTTTCCCGTCTAGAAAAAATTCGCCAGCCTTGCTGAGGTATTTTTTCCGTCTAGAAAAAATTCATCAGCCCCAGCTGAGGTATTTTTTCCGTCTAGAAAAAATTCGTCAGCCCCAGCTGAGGTATTTTTTCCGTCTAGAAAAAATTCGTCAGCCCCAGCTGAGGTATTTTTTCCGTCTAGAAAAAATTCGTCAGCCCCAGCTGAGGTATTTTTTCCGTCTAGAAAAAATTCGTCAGCCCCAGCTGAGGTATTTTTTCCGTCTAGAAAAAATTCGTCAGCCTTGCTGAGGTATTTTTTCCCGTCTAGAAAAAATTCGCCAGCCTTGCTGAGTTATTTTTTCGTATAGAAAAAAATCCTTCAGCTTTGCTGAGGTATTTTTTCCGTCTAGAAAAAAATCGTCAGTTATTTTTTCAGTATAGAAAAAATTCGTCAGCCCAAGCTGAGGTATTTTTTCCGTCTAGAAAAAATTCGTCAGCCCAAACTGAGGTATTTTTTCCGTCTAGAAAAAATTCGTCAGCCCAAGATGAGGTATTTTTTCCGTCTAGAAAAAATTCGTCAGCCCAAGATGAGGTATTTTTTCCGTCTAGAAAAAAATTCGTCAGCCCAAGCTGAGGTATTTTTTACCTTATAATATAGACAGAAGACTTCTATGAACTTTTAATCTGTCGTCTGGTACGTAGGATTCGTATTAATTAATAAATCGATGGTGCGTATTACTACTGACAATACGTATACGCACACTTGACTTCAAGGAAATTTATTCAGCCTTGCTAAGGTATTTTTCCGTATAGAAATCGTCAGCCCAAGCTGAGGTATTTTTTCCCTATAGAACAAATTCGTCAGCCCTAGCTGAGGTATTTTTTCCGTCTAGAAAAAATTCGTCAGTCTTGCCGAGGCATGTTTTTGGTTTACCTCAACAAATTTTCAGATTCCCTGAGTATTTATTTTCTTTTAGAAAAATATTTTCACCTCAAGACTCAAGGTTTTTCTTTGGGAACATTATTTTCCGATTTTCTCAGATGTGTTTGCAGTTTCAAATTAATGAAAGACTTCTTTTCATGTTTGAGAACTGTATTACGAGTGACTTACTTCCACGTACACACATTAAACTGTTTTTTTTTTTTTTTTGTTGAAATGTTACAAAATAATTGTCCTATTGTTCGGAGCTCTGTGAAAGCCCTCTTTGTACTGGCACTTTATATGGGCTAGCTTACCTTTTGTTCGATTTGTTTTTTGTTATCCAATTTCTTTGATTTCTCGGCATTTGCATGTTTTATCTGTTCGACAATGCAATTGGAAATGGCATCACATGAATCGACCCAATCCTGTAGGGTTTTAGCAATCTTTGTAGTATAACCGGGTGGTATATCACGACCCTGGGCATAATCGATTTCCAGAAAGCGATTATTCTGAAACAGCTTTCCATGAATAATATCTGCAATGAAAAAAAAACGGAAAACACACACATACATACATAAATACATGTTGTAGTACTCAGTTAAATGCAAAATGAAACAATATGGGATTATTAAACAGAATATGGCAGAGGGTAGTTGAGAGGGCAGGGGAGGAGTGTGACTGGCGACAAGGTTATCCTTTCCGCAAAAGAATAACACTGGCAAATAAATATGCCAGGGGACGCATGTGTTTGATTGAATCCAAATGGAAGATGCAAAAACAAAAAAACACCAACTCTGGGAATTGAATTGTAATAGTAAATGTGTAGAGAGTGTGTGTGGTAAAGAGGTTTTTATAGTTTTTGTTGCTGTTGCAAATACCCTGCATAAAGTAGCCTTTTTCATTATGAATTGTTTTGCTTCTGATTGCAATACAAGCAAATGATTTACTTTGAACACAATGAAATTGGAATAGGAATAGATGTAGCAGAAAATTGATTTCTAATGGGTCAGGGTTTTATGCTTTAAAAATATTAAAAACAAAGTTTTTACGTTGGGCGCCACTTTAGAAAATATCTGATATTATTACACAAAAGCCGCAGAAATAGAAAAACAAACGAATGTTTTCCATACGGAAAAAATACGCCAGCAAGGCAGATGCATTTTTCTATACGGAAGAAATACCTCATAATGGCTGACGAATTTTTTCTATACGGAAAAAATACCTTGGCAAGGTATTTTTTTTTCTATGCCGAAGAAAATACCTCTGCAAGGCTGACGAATTTTTTCTATACAAAAGAGAAACCTCTGCAAGGCTGAATAAATTTCCTTGAAGTCAAGTGTGCGTATACGTACGGTCAGTAGTTATACGCACCATCGATTTAATTATTAATTCGAATCATACGCACCAGTAGACAGACTAAAAGTTCATAGAAGTCTTCTTTCTTTATTCCTTATATTATCATTTTTTCTAGACGGAAAAAATACCTCATCAAGGCTGACGAATTTTTCCTAGACGCAAAAAATACCTCAGCAAGGCTGACGAATTTTTTCTAGATGAAAAAATACCTCAGCAAGGTTGACGAATTTTTCTAGATGGAAAAAATACCTCAGCAAGGCTGATTAATTTTTTCTCGATGGAATAAATACCTCAACAAGGCTGACGATTTTTTTCTAAACGGAAAAATACCTCATTAAGGCTGACGAATTTTTTCTAGATGGAAAAAATACCTCAGCAAGGCTGACGAATTTTTTTTAGATGGAAAAAATACCTCAGCAAGGTTGACGAATTTTTCTAGATGGAAAAAATACCTCAGCAAGGCTGACGAATTTTTTCTAGACGGAAAAAAATACCTCAGCAAGGCTGACGAATTTTTTCAAGACGGACAAAATACCTCCACTTGGGCTGACGAATTTTTTCTAGACGGAAAAATACCTCAGCTTGGGCTGACGAATTTTTTCTAGACGGAAAAATACCTCAGCAAGGCTGACGAATTTTTTCTAGACGGAAAAATACCTCAGCAAGGCTGACGAATTTTTTCTAGACGGAAAAATACCTCAGCAAGGCTGACGATTTTTTTTAAACGGAAAAATACCTCATTAAGGCTAATGAATTTTTTTCGATACGAAAAAAAAAACTCGGAATGGCTGACGAAGTTTTCCCTTTAGAATTAAAGACCCTACGTTGGGCGCCACTTATAAAAAACTGTAGAATTCTATACTTAATTTCCTTATAAAAATTAATCAGTATCTATTTCAAAAACATAAATCCCAGAAATCGTATTTTGTCCTCTTAATTATACCAATCCCCCACGTTGGGCGCCACCTAAATGTATTTCATTTGGTATTTTGATTTGCTTTGAAATATGTTTAATATTCCTTTCTAACTTTTCATATGAAATTAACATTACAAAGGTCTTGGCCTTTTGATATTACATTTCATATGAATTAAATTTCCATACTTTGACAAAAATTTCGCTTTCCTTTGAAAATATTTTTTTCCAATTAATTTTCATTTCTTTTTGCTGGCCTTACACATGTTCTAAGTGTTCCAAAATGTTCATTACATTAATCACCCAAAAAGAAGAGGAAAACAAACTACATGCAAAATAAAGACTTTGATGGCCTCTCATGTTTTCATATATAAAAGTCATGTATATAGAGGGTGTCAAAAGAAGGTCTATAAAATAATGCTTTCCCAAAGAAAAACAAAATCGTTAGGTATTCTTCTAATAGAGAAAAAAAATCGTCAGGAAAAAAATAGTCACCCTCGCTGAAGTATTTTTTCCCATAGAAAAAAACTCGTCAGACTTATTGAAGTATTTTTCCATACAGTCCCTTGGTTCGTTTGATTTGTATTAATTAATGAATCAATGGTGCGTATAAGTACGGTTAATACGTATACGTAACCTGGTCTTTAAAGAAAAATATTAGAAAAATCAATTCCGTGTAGAAAAAATTCGTCAATCCAAACTGATGTATTATTTCCGTCTAGAAAAAATTCGTCAGCCCCAGCTGAGGTATTTTTTCCGTCTAGAAAAAATTCGTCAGCCTTGCTGTGGTGATTTTTCGTCTAGAAAAAATTCGTCAGCCCAAGCTGAGGTATTTTTTTCCGTCTAGAAAAAATTCGTCAGCCCAAGCTGAGGTATTTTTTCCGTCTAGAAAAAATTCGTCAGCCCAAGCTGAGGTATTTTTTCCGTCTAGAAAAAATTCGTCAGCCCAAGCTGAGGTATTTTTTCCGTCTAGAAAAAATTCGTCAGCCCAAGCTGAGGTATTTTTTCCGTCTAGAAAAAATTCGTCAGCCCAAGCTGAGGTATTTTTTCCGTCTAGAAAAAATTCGTCAGCCCAAGCTGAGGTATTTTTTCCGTCTAGAAAAAATTCGTCAGCCCAAGCTGAGGTATTTTTTCCGTCTAGAAAAAATTCGTCAGCCCAAGCTGAGGTATTTTTTCCGTCTAGAAAAAATTCGTCAGCCCAAGCTGAGGTATTTTTTCCGTCTAGAAAAAATTCGTCAGCCCCAGCTGAGGTATTTTTTCCGTCTAGAAAAAAAATTCGTCAGCCCAAGCTGAGGTATTTTTTCCGTTTAGAAAAAAAATTCGTCAGCCCAAGCTGAGGTATTTTTTCCGTCTAGAAAAAAATTCGTCAGCCCAAGCTGAGGTATTTTTTCCGTCTAGAAAAAAATTCGTCAGCCCAAGCTGAGGTATTTTTTCCGTCTAGAAAAAAATTCGTCAGCCCCAGCTGAGGTATTTTTTCCGTCTAGAAAAAATTCGTCAGCCCCAGCTGAGGTATTTTTTCCGTCTAGAAAAAATTCGTCAGCCCCAGCTGAGGTATTTTTTCCGTCTAGAAAAAATTCGTCAGCCCCAGCTGAGGTATTTTTTCCGTCTAGAAAAAATTCGTCAGCCCCAGCTGAGGTATTTTTTCCGTCTAGAAAAAATTCGTCAGCCCCAGCTGAGGTATTTTTTCCGTCTAGAAAAAAATTCGTCAGCCCCAGCTGAGGTATTTTTTCCCGTATAACAAAATCTTCAGTCTTATTCTAGAACTTCTATGAACATTTAATATGCTCTTTGATGCGTATGACTTGTAATAATTAATAAATCGATGGTGCGTATAAGTACTGCCAGTACGTATACGCATACGGGACTTCTAGGAAAAATATTCAAATTTTGTGTTGCTAAAAAGAAATTCGATAGCTTTTCTAATGGATTTTTCAAGGAAGCTATTTTTGGACTCTCTGTATCTGTGTGTTTTTCTCAAAATTCATTTTATATACTCATATATGTGTGTGAGTAACATCAACTTTAATTAAATGACACATACTCTAATGTCATGCATGATTTTTTGTTTGTCCTGCTTTATTTTGAAAGAAACATTTCCTGGTAAGTTCCTTTGGCTAACATGTCACTACCGAAGTTGGTATGGGTAGTAGTGGTAGTACTTCCGTTTTGAGATGAATACTCCATTACTCTTTTTTTCTATTTTTTGACCATTAGACGACAAACAAACGATAGTCAAAAATAAACATTCATGTCATCATCGTTTTCGTTGACGTCCAACATCAAAATTCTGCTGCTCTTGATGATGATGATGATAATTATTATTATTCTTTGGAGCAAAAGTTCCAGGAAATAATTCATAGCTGAACATGGATATTACTCCTAATGGACAAGTAGAACTTTCATAGAAGTCTAAGTACTTTTGTGTGAGTGAGTGAGTTGGTGAACATGTGGCTTAACTTGACAATTATACAAATGAAATTGAGGATTGCCAGTATCCATCTGGGGGGTATGGAGGACTTTATTGCAATTATTTCCTTTTGTATTTGGAATTTAAATGTACTTTTTGATGTACATGTTACTTGCTCAATTTCCGTTAGTTTTATTGTGAGATTTGGATGGCAATGAATAAAATGTCAAAATAATTATAACCCTGAGATTGATCACAATTAGAAGGAGGGGAAAAGTAAATAGTAGATAAGCTGGTCTAAAGACTTTTTTCTAGAAAGCGAAATTCTTGTCAATATGACAGAAATTCCTCAGATGTAATTTTTCCAATAGAATCAAATTCGTCTACCTTTCTGAGACATATAATCGCAAGTAAAGAATACATGGAACAAATCAGCAACCAAACAGGAAGACCTTCGCTAGGCTTTCGTGTGTATGATTCGTATTAATGATTAAATCAATGGTGCGTATTAGTACTGCCAATACTTATACGTACACAGAACTTGAAGGAAAATCATTGAAATACCCATTTTCTGAGTAAAATTTCGTCAGTCTCGCTGAGTTATAAATTTCGTAAAGAAAAAAAATTCTCAGCCATGCTGAGGTATTTTTTCTATAGTAAAAAATGCTCAAGCTTGATGAGCTATTTTTCCCAATAGGAAACAATTTGTCCGCATTTCTGAGGCATTTTTCCGTACAGACTTTTCGTCAACTCCAAAAATTTGTCAACCTTGCTGATCTATTTTTTTATAGACATAAAAAAATTTCTCAGCTTTTTCTAAAGAAAAAAACTTCTCAGCCCAGCTTAGATGCTTTTTTTCTATAGAAAAA